AGGACTTTGGGCTGGGGCATTGGCTGTTGCAGGAGATATGATCCGTTTCGGGCTGATTTGGGTGACAAGGGCTTGGGGTGAACCGGACCTTCAAAGAAAGCCGTCATCACCCGGAAACCCTACGGCCCCAGAGTGATGAAGATGACCTGAAGCCCTTAAACCCTAGACCCGAATCCCTAAACCCTGAACCGCTAATGTAGGGGCCTTAATAATTCAAATAGGTTTTAGGTCAAGTTTTAGGTGTATATTATACTATTTTTGATAAGGAACCCCCAAAATGATGTAGGTAATGATTTAGGCCCCTACAGTAGTCCAAGCCAAAAACCCCAAGCACCGACTTCATCCGAGGTGGCCGAAGTCCTTCCTTTGCAAGACCCAAAAGTCGCTAAAAGGCTCGAAAACCCTGAAAAACAGGAACAGAACCTAGGCCGTGGTTTAGGGTTTAGGGTTTAGGGTATGCCATGCACCCCAAACTACGAAGCAACCCATGGCCATAAACCCCGTAGACGCCCTCAAATCCCTCAGACCCTACACCCCAAAACCTTACAACCCCGACAACATGATGAGGTAAAGGGCTTCTGGCTTTAAGGATACTATCCTAAACGTACACTCCACAGATCCTTTATCCACACCTCGCTCCGCCAAGAAAGCGAAATGGAAAAGGCCAAACCCGAAACCCCGAAACCCCAAACCGGGCCTGTGCCATTGCGGTGATCTCCGCGTTCAGGCCTCTGACAGCAGCCTCTTCGGAAGGGGGGGGGTTGAAGAGAGCAGATTCGGGTTTAGGGTTTAGGGTTTAGGGTTTAGGGTTTAGGGTTTAGGGTTTAGGGTTTAGGGTTTAGGGTTTAGGGTTTAGGGTTTGGGGAGGCTTCGCTTGCGTTAGGCTTCGGCGTTTATGGCATGGACCAGCCAGAGGCTATTACTACTGCAGCTGGGGACCTTGGTGAAGGCCCTAGATGCTGTAATATAGGGGCCGTCATAATTACCTAATCCTATTTTGGTGGCTCCTTATTATCATCATAGCATCATATGCCCCCAAACCCTATTCTTATTATTAAGGCCTACATTGGAATGCCAAACCTTTCAAGAAACTACTTCAAGACCTAGGAAAACCTCGAAGTCTCTGAGTGAAGAAAGCTTGGAACCCAAAGCCCTAGGCCTCGAACCCTAAACCCAAACGCCGAGGCCCTTAACCCCAAACCCCGAGACCCTAAACCCTAAACCCTAAACCCTAGACCCCCTAAACCCTAAACCCTAACCCAAACTTTCAGAACTTTGCCTCGCGCTGCTGAGCTTCGGAGGTGACCAGGCTACGCACCTCACGGACCTTGCGCTCAGAGGTCCGGCTCGGCTTAGGGATTGGGGGCAATAATTTGAATAGGGTTTTGGGGCCTTGATTGATAGTAAAGGGATAATAACGAAACCCCAAATAGTATAGGTAATGATTTATGCCCCTATATTAAGGATTGGGGATGCTTCCTGGTTTAGGCTTTAGGGGTTTAGGGGTTTCGGGTTTAGGGTTTAGGGTTTAGGGTTAAGGGGTTTAGGGTTGAGGGGTCTAGGGTTTGGGGTTTAGGCCTTTGGGGGTTTAGGGCTTAGGGGTTCAGGGGTTTATGGGTTT